GAGTCCCTTTTCTCTCACTTTTCATTCAAATGAAATGACTAAGCTTCGTGAAGAAGGCATGTTGAAAGCTGAGATAGGCCAGTAGCTAAGCATTTTTGTGCCAAACAGTTAGCCAAGTTATAAATGCAAAGGAAAAGCTTTTGAAGGGAAATTAAAAGTGCCACTCCAGTGAACATAGAAATGATAAGAAAGCAAACAGTCTTACTGTTGACATGGAGAAAGTTTTAGTAATCTGGCTAGATCATACCAGTCACAACATACCCTTCAGCCAAAGCCTAATCCAAAGGAAGGCCCTGACTCTCTTTTAATTCTGTGAAGGCAGAGAGAGGTGAGGAAGCTGAATAAGAAAGGATAAAACTAAGCATAGATTGGTTCATGAAATTTTTAAAGAAAGAAGCTGTCTATATAATATCAAGCTATAAAGTGAGGCAGCAAGTACTGCTAGGCAGTACTGTGATCATTGATGAAGGTGAGTACCTAAACAACAGATTTTCATTGTAGATGAAACAGACTTATTTTGAAGGGAGATGCCATATAGGACTTTTAGCTTGAGAGGAGAAATCAATACCTGGTTTTGAAGTTTCAAAGGGCAGAATGATTCTCTTGTTAGGGGCGAATACAGCTGATTACTTGAAGATGAAGCCAAGCTCATTTACCATTCCAAAAGTCCCAAGGCCCTTAAAATAATGCTAGATCTACATTCTCTGTAAGTGGAATCACAAATCCTGGATGATAGTACATTTGTTTGCAACATGGTTTCCTGAATATGTTAATCCCACTGTTGAGGCATACTGCTCAGAAAAAGATTCCTTTTAAAATTCCCTATTACCAATGTATCTGGTCACCCAAGAGCTCTTAAGGAGCTGCACAAGGAGAATCACATTGTTTTCATGTCTAACATAACATGCCTACCATCATACCCTCTGTAGCCCAAGGAGTAATTTTGACTTTCAAATCTTACGACTTAAGAAATATCTTTTGTAAAGCTATAGCTGCTATAGATTGTGATTTTCTGATGGTTCTAGGCAAAACTGAAAACCTTCTGGAAGAGATGCACCATTTTAAATGCCATTGAGGACATTCATGATTTGTGGGGGTAGGTCAAAATAACATTAACAGGACTTTGGAAGACTGAGGAATTGAAGACTTCTGCAAAGGAAGTAACTGCAGATGTAGTAGAAATAACAGAATTAGTATTAGAAATGGAGCCTGAAGATGAGACTGAATTACTGCAATGATTAAAACTTAAACGTGGCCCTCCCTGGTGGCGCAGCTGCTTAAAGCACTGCACTAAGAAACTTAAGCCACTTCCGCATGAGTTTGATTCCCGCCTGCCCCAGAGGAGATCCACATGGCGTGGCAGACCTCTCCTGACCGGCCCACTGCTCCCCTCAGCAGTGTACTTTCATCGATCTGCCTGCTCTGCTCCTCACTCTGTCCCTGGTGAATCCTCTCACCCTCCGCATCTCTGGCCTGTACCCCAGTTCTGTATGAATAAATAAATCTTTAGAAAAAAAAACTTTATGAGGAGTTGCTTCCTTCAAATGAGCAAAGAAAGTAATTATTCTTGGTGAAAATTGCTAATTATTCTTGCTGTGAACATTGCTAAAATGGCAACAAAGTATTTACAATATTACATAAGCTTAGTTGATAAAGCAGGTAGCAGGGTTTGAGAGGAAGGATTGACTCTCAATTTTGAAAGAAGTTCTGTGAATAAAGTGCTTCCAGCAGCATCGAAGGTCCAGAGAAGTATTTCATGAGTCAATTGATGCAATAAACCTCATTGCTGTCTTATGTTAAGAAATGACCACAGCAGCTCAAACCTTCATCATCCCCAATCAGTTGGCAGCCATCAACATCTAGGCAAGATTATCTACCAGCAAAAAATCTCAACTTCTGAGGGTTTGAATGGTGGCTAGCATTTTTTTTTAGCAATAAAGTGTTTTTTAATAAGATGTATAAATTTTTTAGACATAATGCTATTGAGCATTTACAAACTATACTATAGTGTAAACATTAATGGGAACAGAAAAATTCACACAACTTGTCTTATTGTGATACTTGCTTTTTTTGGTCTGGAGCCCAATCTGTAATATCTTTGAGGTATGCCTATGTGCCTTAAATTTATATAATGTTGTATCTCAGTCTTACCACAATAAAGCTGCGGAATAGATCAATTAATATAAATGCCCCAGCTCTTTACCCTTGATCCAATCAGTTATTTACTTATGTCTAAATTTCTCTAATTCTATTTTCATGGTATCAAATAGATTTCCAAATTATCAAATCTGTATAATTCCTGCTGCCATTGTTTCAGTTTAAATTGATTAACCTCCTGCCTGGATTGTTATGGTAGCCCTCAAATTGACCCTAATTTTTGATTCTATTCTGTTAACTTTTCCCACGAAAAACAGGCTAATTGTATTCCCATCCTTCAAGGTCTACTTTGACTCCAAGCGGTGTGGTCTTGTCTTCTCTAAGGCATTTTCAGCACTCTTTCTTACTCTTCTTTGAGTTATGATACTAAGTGTCTTGAGTATTCCTGTCTTCTGTTTCCTATTATGAGTAGTTAGTGCCTTATACACAGTACTGTTCAATATACCTTGATTATAATGGATTGAAAGTAAGGCTAAAATGGACTTTCTGTTCTGCTTTACTTAGAGAAAGTATTCTCCAACTGAATTTCACTAAGACCTTTCAGACTTGCAATAGCAGACCAGCTCTGCAGTGCACCATGTCATGTCCTCATTTGCCAGTGCTAAGGAATAATGTCAAGGAAGAGCAGGAATAAGATTACTTTTTTGTTTTTAAGATTTATTTATTTATGCATACAAAACTGGGGTACAGGCCAGGGGTTCAGGGGTGGGGAGCACAACAGGCAGATTGATGAGTACACTGATGAGGGGAGCAGCGGGCGGGTCAGGAGAGGTCTGCTACGCCGTGTGGATCACCTCTAGGGTGGGGATCCAACTCATGCTGAAATGGCTTTAACTTGTTAGTGCTGTGCTTTAACCTGCTGCACCACCAGGGAGGTCCCAAGATTATTTTTTAACCTGTGAAGTGTATGGACCTCTCTCGAGTAGTTCAGAAAGTCAAAACTGAAAATGTGAGAATAACATTAATGAAATTTTTTTTGTGAGAAGTATTAGGGCTAGCAATGGGCCAGTTGTCTGTGAAAGACAGACCCAAAGGCAAGTATAGTTCTAGTTAGAGGGGGAAGGCAAAGAAGATCCTATGGTCCTGACCACATGATAGGGTGGTAGAGTTTCCTAATTGCCTAATTCAGAAGTTCTCTAAAAATAGTTACTTCATTCCTACTCAAAATGTAGGTATTTGAAGCCCAAAAGGAGATGACTGGATTAAAAAGATGTGGTACATATACACAATGGAATATTACTCAGCATTCAAAAAGATAAACACATGCCTTTTGCAGCAACATGGATGGACCTAGAAGGGATCATGCTTAGTGAAATAAGCCATAAAGAAAAGGGAAAAACCAGATGGTTTCACTCATAGCAGGAGTATGAAGGACCAGAGGAGAAAATATTAATAATAATGAACAACTATATACCAGAGACATTTTACAGGGCTAGAAAGGGGAATGGGATCAAAAATGGTGGGGCAGGGAGTGCACTTGGACCATGGTGATGGCACACAGGTGAATTGGTGGTGGGAAGCCCACAGGGATTACAACTGAGATGGAAAAAGGCATAAAATGATGAAAAAATAAACTATTATTTTTTAAAAAGTAGGTATTTGAGGGCCTCTCTGGTGGCACAAGGGATGAAAGTGAAGCAGTATGAAGCTATCTACAGCTACTGCAGCATGAGTTCGATCCCCACTGAGGGAGGTGACCCACATGACAGACCTCTCCTGATTGCCCACTGCTCCCCTCAGCAGGGCATTTCAATAGATCTGCCTGTTCTGATCTCCACTCTATCTCTGGTAAATCCTCTTACCCACTGCACCTCTGGCCTGTATCCCAATTTCTTGTATGTATAAATAAATCTTTTTTTTTTTAAAGTAGGTATTTGATGCCCAAAAGTAGATGACTGGATTAAAAAGATGTGGTACATATATACAATGGAATATTACTCAGCAATCAAAAAAAGAAACACATGTCTTTTGCAGCAACTTAGATGGAGCTGGAAAAGATTATGCTTAGTGAGATAAGCCAGAAAGAGAAAGAAAAATACCAGATGGTTTTGCTCATAGCAGGAGTATAATGGACCAGGCGAGAAAATAATAAGAACAATGAACAGCCATATACCAGAGACATTTTGTGGGGATGGAGTGGGGAATAGGATAAAAAACGGGGGTAGGGGGAGGGAAGTGCACGGGACTATGGTGATGTCACACGGGTGACTTGGTAATGGGAAACCCACAGGAATTACAATTGGGATGAAAAAAAATGTACAAGATGAGCTAAAAATAAGCTATTATATTATAAAAAATAATAAAAATAAAAAATAAATTTTTTTTAAAAAGTAGGTATTTGATATGGATTATTCCTGGGTGGGTTGATAATGCACAGCACTTATTGGAGGAGCTTTCCTTCTATCAGATGTCTTAACTGTGGTATTAAGGCTTGCTTTGAGCTCTGAGTCATCTTGTGAGGCAGAAGAAAAACTTGGCCTGGGACCCCTGAACTAATTGACTTCAGGAAGGAAGGTAGAAAGAAAATAATTTCACACAATTATTAAGTATTGTTAAGCCCATTTCCTAGCCGCCTTATTCTCATGACAGCCCTGTGAAGTAGATCAGGTACATTGCCCATATTTCATAGATGGGAAATCCAAAGTTACAGGCCAGTCAGAAGTAGAAGGAAGGAATTCTACCTCCTGAGCAAGGAGTTCCACCTTTCTTCACCCACATGCTACTCAACCCCAGAAGAGGGAGAAAATACTTAATAGCACTTAGGTAAATGGTTAAAACTGATTGACCTAATGTGCTCAGCCACTGGCCAAATCTAGGATCTTCTGTTTTTCTTTTATCCACAGAACCATGGGGGTGTTGATGTCTAAGAGGCAGACAGTAGAGCAGGTACAGAAGGTGAGCTTGGCTGTATCTGCCTTTAAGGATGGGCTGCGGGACAGACCTTCCCTCCGACGCACAGGTGAGCTTCCAGGTTCCCGCCGTGGCACTGTAGAGGGCTCTGTCCAAGAAGTACAAGAGGAGAAAGAAGCTGAGGCAAGCACCCCAGTGCTCCAAGAAGAGAGCAGCGGCTATGGCTATCGTGCAGCCTGGGAGAGGCTTCGAGATGGGCGTGGAGTGGAGCCTGAGGACTTTGACAAAGCCGGTCGTTTCACACCCCCTGCCTATATCCGCCCCACCCGGAAGCTGGATGATGACAAGCCTCCAGATATCTCCTTGGAGCTCAGAGAAGCTGTGAGTGTCACTTCAGAATTGTATGTCTTAGACATTCTGCTGATCAGAGAACAGGACAGGGAAGTCTGGGTACTATTGAAATGAGATTCAAAGCCAGAAAGAGAAAACTGAGTCTAGAACAACCTTTGAATTTCTTCCACAAGAATAAAAATGTTGGTTACATTCTATATTACTCTTAGTAAAAGACATGAGGCAGTAGGTGATAAGGAATGACTCCATGGCTGGTCTTCCACTGCCCCCTCACATTCGGAAATTTTGAGAGGAGGTAGTTCAGAAATATGATCATAGAGACCTGAGCAGCTGGTCCTTGATCCCCAGAAAGAAACTTCTATGGCCTCAATACTTGCTTCAATTGCAGCTGTTCCTCTATGCTGCTCCAGGGGGACTCAGCCCCATGCAAGTAGCTCTGTGTTTGGTGGTCATAGGATCTTGCTACCTGCCCTAACATCCCTGTTCACTCCTCACTTCTTTCCTCAGATTGTCAATGATGAGATGTGTGATATCTGTGAAGTCTGGACAGCTGAGAGCCTCTTCCCGTGCAGGATCTGCACAAGGGTTTTCCATGATGGCTGCCTGCGCCGCATGGGCTACATCCATGGAGACAGTACAGCGGAGGTGACCGAGACGGCCCACACGGAAACAGGCTGGAGCTGCCACTACTGTGTGAGACGGGGCTGCTGCACCACAGGGGACTTGGCAGTTTTCTTAAAGGCCCTGTCTTAGACCACTGGTCTCTTGTAATGGCTAAAGAGTTGTCCAGTAGTTGAGCCAAGAGCCATGGAGCTGGGAAAGAATCTCTGTTCCTTAAAACTGCTATTGATATTTTGGGCCCAGTAAGTCTTTTGCAGCAGGGGTGGTATACATTGTAGGATGTTTAGCAACATATTTGACCTCTACCCCATGAGATGCCAGCAGCACCTACCCCTAGTTGTGACAAGCCATAATGGTCCCAGATACTATCACATGAGCCCTGGAGAAACAAAAGCATCCCCAGTTGAGAACCACTAAGCTATAGGACTCAATGGAAAAATAAGGCCTAATTACTCAAAAAATGATTCTACTTGGAGCAGTGCTTTCTCTAAGTCTACAGTTGTCATTCACTGTGTTCATCTGAACCACGTCCTGAAATCCTAGCCAGCTTGGTTCTAGGAAGGACAGACTGTTGCAGGAAAACTCAGTCCAAAAGATCCACATTTAGTCTACAACCTGGCCCTAAGGGGCATTCTTTCTTCTTCTCTGAGTGATCATTATATGAGTTAAATAACAGTGTTTTGATTCAAAATTTTGCAAACTTCATATGATATGAAATGCCTTGCAACGTTTTTTCTTTTAATTTTTTATTTATTTGTTCATACAGAACTGGGGTACAGGCCAGAGGCTCAGGGGTGATGAGAGGCTTCACCAGAGACAGAGTGGGGAACAGAACAGGCAGATCTACGAAGTACACTGCTGAGGGGAGCAGCGGGCGGGTCAGGAGACGTCTGCCACGCCATGTGGTCCCTTCCGGGGCAGGCGGGAATTGAACTCATGCGGAAGTGGCTTTAGATTCTCAGTGCTGTGCTTTAACCCACTGCGCCACCAGGGAGGGCCTGCCTTGCAACTTTTAATGGAAGAAAAAGCACCAGATTTGTATATATTTCTAGCACAACTAAGTAGAGTTCAAGTCTTACTTTACTAATCTGTTGATTTGCAGAAATCTTCAAAATTCAATGATTTCTGAGTTAGGACCATCTACAAATCCCTTTCTTCTGCTGCCTAAGCAAAGATGTGCCATTTTCTAACAATAACACTTTCTGTATGGCTTGTCAATAAGAGGAAGTCTATTTCCAGCCACCTAGATACCTTTTCTCCCGCTGGAGTACACTACAGCTGGTCCCACTTTGAACTCTCTCCTCTCAGCACCACCTCTCCAAATGCCAGTCTTCGCAGGCAGTTCTCGGCTCTCCTCTGCAGCATCTGCTGATTTGCTCATGGCTAGGTTTCTCCTCCCTAACCCCTGGGGAGATACCGCTCCCTTCCTGGTTATGACCACTGGTTTACAATGACTTCTTCCACGTTTCTCCCCACTTTTTTCTTTCCTTTCACAGGCAGGCTACTTTGTCATTTCTTCCTGGGTCCTCAACCACCTGAGATTTGGCTCCTGCATTCATCATGCTGCTGAACCGACTTTTCCCTAATGTCACCAGTCACCCAATTGTCAAGTCCAATAACCTCTCTGACCTCACTGATATTTTAGTACTTTCTTACTGGCCCCTCTTTTTTGTTTAGTATTTGAGTGTTTTTAAAGAGAGTTATTACACAAAATATGAAAACTAGAGAAACAAAATTTTAAAAACCTCATCATTATGTATTAACATTACCTCCCATCTGTGCAGCTCTCTTTTCTTGGCTTCCAGTACCCTTTACTGGCTGTCCTTCTACCTCCATCTCTGATGATTCTTTCTAAATGCCCTTAGTTTCTTGTCCAGTCTTAAAAGCTGGTGTCTGTCAGGGTTCTGTTGTTAGCGATCTTTCTTCCCCACCCATATTTTCTCCCTACCCCCCTCCCAAAACCTGTTCTTCCTGTCCTTACTTTTGTGAATAGTAGCCCTACCCAATTACTAATCCCAATTCATTTTTCTCTCATCCCTCACATCAAATAAATCAACAGCTCCTCTCAATTTTACCTTCAAGTATTGCTCTCCTCCATTCTCATTCCTTAGTTTAGCTACTCCTCTCTCATCTGGATATTGCAACAGCCACCTGTTCTCCATGTCTCCAGACTTTGCTCCTCTAGTCCACCCACACAGCAGTTGAAAATATGACCATGGTACTCTTCACCTAACCCTTGGATGGCTCCCCTTTGCCTTCAAAATGAAGACCCACTTTGAGGAGCTCAATGAAGAGCATTTGAGGCATTTCACAATCAGGCTTCTGCATATCTTCCCTCCCTTTTCATCCCTATATATACATATTCTCTCGCTCTCTCCCACAACCCCCACCCCAGCCACACTGAACCCCTCACAGTGTTACATGCTGTTGTGCTCAGCATACACTAGGTCTGCAGTAAATGTTCACTGAAAGAACAGAACACCGTGTCTTGATGAAATCCACAAGTGAATATTCATGGAATATCTGCTCCTGTCCTTCACCGGTATTTTAGGCTGGGAAGTAATCTTTGACCAGAAAGAAACATTCATAATTTAAAGTCTGTAAGACCAAATATTAATTTAACAAAATAACCTATCAGTGCTCTTTTGGAATTAAAACTCTTAAAGAGCACCACAAAAACTCATTTGTTTTTAGGATATTTTTAGGATTTTTGTCATTTTGTTTTTAGGATCTTTTTTCTAAATCAGTGTAGAAAGTGATTCTGTCCACCAGGAGCAGAGTTAGAATTAAACTTTTTACTCATTATTAAAATACTCTTTGAATACTCTTGGAGGATAGTCTAGCACTGCAGCCAAAATACAATGGAAAAAGACAGAACTAGGGATGTACAACCCCACCAGGTTTCTAGCCCCTTCTCCCTTGCAGCAGCTTCCGAAAACACATTCATGGGACTCCAAGGGTATCTTAGAATAATTTAAAAACCACTATTTTAATAAAAGGAAATCAGGGCTAAAGTCAAGATATCTGGGTTCTGGGAAAGATCCTGCCCCAGAAGTGGCTAACGGAGCAAGTCCATCCTTCCTTTTAGAGGCTGCAGTCTGCTAGATTATGAACGAGAGGCTGGGATTAGATTATCCCAGAATTGCCTTGAAACACTGTCTCCATCTTTCTTGACCCTGGGCCTGCCTTTCTTAATGGGCTACACAATTTTTCCATCTTTTCAGGACAACCTCAACTTGCTGCTAACTGAAGAGGAAATGTACAGCCTTACAGAGACTTTTCAGCATTGTAAAGTAATTCCCGGTAAGACTGGACAGTACTGCTGGTTGAAGATGGGCAGGCATTTTTTTCCTGCATATTTTCTAGGATGATCCATGAAATGAGTATTCTGGAATTGGGGGGTAGGGAGTTACTGGGTCCCAGTTCCTAAGTTTTTGGCCACCAGGAAACTTCCTCCAGCCACAGTCAGAGATTTTCTGACAATGAGAGACAAACACTCAACAAGAACTGTGAATGTGGGAACTCTAAGGTGCCTTGTAAGTGAGTGGAGGTGCCCAGAGGCTAAGGATGGGTAATGACCAGCATGTCTTGCCTCCTTACAGATTGCTCCCTTACGCTGGAGGACTTCCTGCGCTACCGCCACCAAGCAGCAAAGCGGGGGGACAATGACAGGGCTCTAAGCGACGAGCAAGAAGAGCAAGCAGTCGGCCAGTTTGCCTCTCTGGACCCTGAACATCGAGGCCAAGTGGAGTGGTCTGACTTCTTGTCCCATGAGTCCCTCCTCCTCCTACAGAAATTGCGTCCCCAGGTGAGGGCCAGCTGGGTTAATGTCCATGGGATACTGGGTGACAGAGACCCGGGAAGCATGCTACATGTTGGGGGAACACTGGCTACTGTCTCAGCAGGATCCAGTGTGAGAAAAGGGCTCAGTTTCCAATCCAGTGACAGGTGATCCAAAGCTAGGCTGGGGAAAGAGCCGAGGAAGGTTTATTTGCATTGAACCCCTCTGAAAACGTTGGTGCTCTCAGAAAGACAGAGCTGCTTCTAAGGAGGTTGCAGAGGTTATAATAGAGGTAGGAAACTTCATGCATGTGTATGCTTACACACTATTTTTACCTCCAAGATCATAACTGTCTCTTCTTCCCCAGAACTCTCTGTTACGGCTTCTGACAGTCAAGGAGCGTGAGCGAGCCCGAACCACCTTCCTCGCACACAGCAGTGGGAATACCGTCAGTGAGGCAGAGTGCCGCCATGCCCAGCACTCTTGGTTCTGCAAGCAACCCGCAGGGGCTGCTTCCTGCAGTGTCAGGTGTGCTACCTGCTAATCCTTTCTCCTGGCCCATGGTATCAAGTACCTCCTGACTTCTCCTGCAAACAGCCAGGAATGGATCCTGTGCAATAGACAAAGACAGTGATTCCTGTTGGTCAGGGCACAGGGCAGCCTCTACTCCAAATTCTCTCATCCTGTATCAGAGAAGTCTGGATGTGCATATCCAAAGGCCTTGTCAGAGTTCGGGAAGGGCCAGGCCTCTCACAATCCCATTTCTAACCACATCCTTGTGCCCAACAGCGTCAGCCATGTGGGTCCCATAGCAGACAGCAGCCCAGCCAGCAGCAGCAGCAAGAGTCAGGACAAGGCCCTACTGCCCACAGAGCAGGAGTGCAGGTGAGTGGGACCTCCTTACCTGGCTGGCCGCCCCCTCTGTGGCCGCCAATACTCACAGCCTCTGAGCTCTGCAACTAGCCTCACAAGCCTGTTCTTTGCTTCTACTCCAGATCTGTAGACTGGCCTACCTTCCTGCGGGAGAATGTCATTTACATCTTGGCTGCTCGCCCCAATAGTGCAGCCATTCACCTGAAACCCCCAGGATAGCATGGATCAGAGAAGCTCAGTTCGGAGACAGTGGCATTCTCTCCCTCCTTTCCTTTCCCCACCTCCCCCCACCCCCACCCCCTGGTACTGAGACTCATGGGAGTGGATCACTGACATCATCTCAATTTGCCACTAAGCTTTATGTCTCTGAAGTCACTGTTCCTTCACAACAGAGGCAGTAAATGTATTGCCACAGGGAGAATACCTAGGAACTGTAGCAGCCTCTGCTCCTGGACACCCTCCACCTTCCATGTTTAAGCGTGCACAGGCATACATGTATACATAGGCCTTGCTGTCATGCCATCAGAGACCTGGTTCTTTTGGGTTGGGAAAGAACCAGAGCCCCTTTGTGAAATCCCTGGTATGGATCAAGGGACTGTAGCTGACTCATGCGTGCTCCTAGAGATATAGCCAGGCTCCCTCTCCCCAGTGATTATCCCTTCTGTGGTGAGCTGTTGTTCTGGTGGGTATACAGTATGTCCCTTAGGTGTGGGGAGTGGGGAAATTATTGAAAACCACCATTGTACTTCCCTCTGTTATTTATTTAAGTTTCAGTGCTTTGTGACAGAGAACGCAACTGGTCTGTTCATCTTAATTAGAAAAGGGGGAGGTAGCACCCCCCAGGGACCCAAAATTCTAGATCCTTTCACCCAGGTCATCCAAGTCCAGAAGTCTATAGCAAAATGTGAGCCACTCTGGTACCTGTTTCTTCGATGGGCGCTCACGGCCCAGAACCCAAAGGACCTGAAAGAACAAGTATGATGGCAGCATCCCGGCCCTCCGTGTTAGATGCTTTGCTCAAATCAGCTACCCAGGGACCCAAATCCCAAGTTTCAAAGAGGACAAAGTCTGGATGAAAGAGGAGAGAAGACACATGCTTTTCCATCCTTCCAGCTCATCTCAAATGTAGACCTGGAAAAGTCTCCAAAGCCCAAGAAAGAGCAACACAACTGAAGTCATGAGCAGGGACTTCTCTCAACCATCCCAGCAATGACAATAAGAACCTGGAGTGAAGAAGACTTGCATCTTTGCTTTGTTAAGCAGAGAAAGTCCCAAGAAACGCTCACAGAAAGAGGTTTTTCTTTCTACCCAACACTAAGATATGGTCTGAGTTGCTGCCACTCACTGCAAGCCCTTTCCAAAGTGAGGGTCCAGGCTTGGCATGGGTGGACTTTTCGGGTCAAGCAGGGTCTACAAGGGTGCCCAGCCTGTCCTCCAAGTCTCAGACCCCCTTTCTAAATTCTCTTCAGATTCTCAAGGCAGTGCATCTTGTGGGTCCCCCTGGCCCTGGAGTCCAGGTTTCTATTTCCAGTCTGTTGACTTAGGTTTAGCCAGATCTGAGTACCTGATCTGATGGAGGATTAGCTCAGTACTCCAGCAGCTAGCATATCCCCATTGCTCAGGGCACTTGTACTAAATTGGGTGCTGCCAGGAGCAGCAGTGCCCAACGCTGAGATGCTCAGAGAGGAGAGAGCTGCACCAGGAGCATATTAAGAGCACTGCACAGTCTCCTCCTTTAGAAACTGCTTGACCTAGAAGCAGAGCAAGAATCTTTCTGGGATTGGATTTTTTAAGCTTGAAGTGAAGAAGATGAAACTGGGTTCATATATTTGGCCCTGAACATTTCAAAAACCCACAGCTTTTTATAAATACTCGTTAGCCATACTCCCTAGTATGAGAGGCCAATATTCAGTCCGGTCCTCCCACCCCCCAAAAAAACAAACAAGCACATTATTCTTGGGTCTAAAACTGCATCTGCAGCAGCCAGGCCTGGGGTTTGCACTGAGAAGATTAAAGCACGTTAAGCCCAGGGGCTCTTGCTTACTCTCCTGGAAAATTACCTTCTATGGCAGTGGCCTTGGACTGCTTGATTCCATGGACAGGGCATTAGAGTACAGATAAGCTGTTCAAAAGTGAGCAGCTTTTTTTACTCCTGCCTCATCAGTCTATCTTCTTGGTCCCTCATCCTTCACAGATCAAGGTGATGCCTACCTCTTTAGAACTACAGCTTCTAGCTCTCTGGGTGAGTGGTAGAGAGACCACAGGCCAGATCAGGCCAGCCATATCCTAGGGCCTGGAAAAGCAGGCCCCAGAGTTCTTCCACAAGAGAATCAGGCCCACTTGAAATTACCTCTCTCCCTATCCCAACACAGCAAGCTTTTTGGGAAGATCTTTCCCTGCAGAGGATGCAGGGTATTGCCTCCAACAAAGGAGAGAGTTCCTAACCACAGGGTGTAGGAAGCAGAAGGCAGAAAGGCACAGGAAAGCAACAGGCCTCTTCGTAGGCATCTTAACTTTTCACCAAAGAAGTTCCATTGCACCCCGAGTCCTGAGCTGCGGAAGCCCCACCCAAGCCTTGGTAGTGCCCTAGTCCCTCTACAGTAAGTAGAGGAGCCTTCTAAACATTTATAAGCCTAGTAAAGCCCATTTCCTTTTCAAGCCCTTGGACCACTGTGACTATCTGAAATTCTGCCAATTATAAAACTAGTGTCTGACTCTAGTAAGGGTCTGAGAAAATGTTTCACTTTTCTTAGCTACTTAAAACTTGAATCAGTGCTTTTCCCCAAGCACCACCCCCTAGCAAGGAAAGACATGGGTTGTTTATATGCTCATCAGAAGACCTTTGGCCCTAAGCTTGCTTTTCATCCAGCAATTCTTTTCCCAGTGCTTGGATTGAAATACAGGGCATCTGGAAGACACAGTGGAGCTGCAGGGGCAGGGGTATACGAAGCCAGTGGCTGTGGCCACATAACCTCTCCAGTTCTGTTTCATGGCTTCCTTTCCGAAACCAGCTTTCCCAGCATGTATAGGCTCTGGGTTTTGAGGGATGCACCTTGGGGCCCCAGGGATGGAGCAGTTTCCTCACTCCTAGATACTGACCCACTGTCAAGTGCTCTTCTTCCTTTAAGGACAGCCACCACCAAAGCCATGAGCACATGGCCTCTTCCTGTTTTCAGCCCGAGTGACTGGAGCTATAGGGTAGGCATCAGCCTTTCTGGCTTTCGTGCTCCCTGTGGGTGTCACCCTGGCCTTGTTTGGCCAAAACTGTCCCCCCCCCACCCCCAAACAGACACACACACATAGACACACACACGCACACACACACTCCTATCACCAATATAGAAAGCATAGATTCATACTGCCTGGGAAAGGGCACCTTACTGGGGGCTGAGTTCAAAATGTGCCGAGGCCTCAGTCCAAAGCACAACCTCAACCATGTGGGTCTCATGATTTTAGTGAGAATGGTGTCAGGAGGCCCTTAAGTTGGGAGGGAAGCTCAGAAAAAGCTGGTCTGGAGTAGCCAAGCCCCTGTAGCCAAGAGATCTCCAGGCAGGACAGAATTAAGAATAGTTTCTGGTGATCCTGTAGAAATGTCCCCTTTGAACTAGCAGGGTAACAAGAGGTAAATACTTGTCACTAAAAGGCAAAATTACCTTAATGTCAGAGTTTCAGGATATCCTAATAAGCACTATAATCGTAGTTAATAAGTATAGACCCTTTCACTCACTTGTTTGATGTATACCCAGTTACAGTGGCATAAACCCGCTGCTTTCTCCATGCCACTTAGTTTGAGTTTGCCCAGGATTTCTGGACCCCCAGCTTCAGCCCAGACAACAAAAATCCCCTTGAGTTGAGGATATTAATGCATTATGCCTGTTTCCACCAGCTCAGCCCTGGAGTGGAGTGAGACTGGCCACTTCTGCTGCCAGGCTTTTGGTTACCTTGAAAGAAAACAAAAATTACTGAAATTCTAAACCTAGAAATACTAGACATTACTAGCACTAAAGAAAACTACCTTCCCTCTGGACCACAGGTCCTGAAGGCATAGAATGTGGCGAGAGTATAAAGTCTAGCCTGGGCCAGTGACTAAGAAACCTTGCCTTCCAGTTTGTATAGTATTGTTAACATGACCACAGATTAAAACATCAAGGAGGAAAGGCTTTTCCATTTCATGGTGAAACAGACCCTTAAGCTTAGCTTCCTGTGAGAGATGGCCTGTGATCTGTCTCCCAGTCTAATGCAGCCTTGTAAAAGGTGGCTGGGAGACCACGCAAGCGACAGTGGAGAATGCAGTGCTCTCTCATCCTTCAAGTTGTCCCCATGCACTTTTCTGCGGAAAGTGACAGTAAGCTGCGGGGGCATCCCTAAGCCCTGTCTTCCCAACATTACAGCTGCATGTTCCTCCCTATGGCTCAGCCTTCAGAAGGAGCTGATGCTCCCAGAGGCTGGGCACAGTGGAAATCATAATAAAGAGATTGTGATGCTGTTCTAGCTTCCTGTTTTCTGTTGTTGGGGGGCATGTGCTGAATTTCTGTGTGGTTCCTTATCATGGACCAATCTCTGAGCCTGAGATTAAGACAGGAACATGAAGACCACCATATACAGTGGTCTCTTTCTACAGCTTTCCTGGTGCTTGCTTTCCCAACAAACAAGTAACAAGTATGGGTGGGGTTGGGAGCATGCAGGAGCTTCCCCAGAGGAAATGGGGACCCTGAAGAGAGGATTCCGAGTTTTTGAAGGAATTAAGAAGTGAGGCCTCTGAGCCTATCTGCCATGTACTGCCCCACCCTCACCCACACCAAAGGCTAGGGGGTTTTTTGTTTGATTTTGGCTTTTTGGTTTTTTTGTTTTGTTTTATTCTGGGGAATCTTTTTGTAGCATACATTATGTTTAAAGAGCAATTATCGTGGAGGGCCAGTTTTAGACACTTTTCTTGTCCCAGTTCTTGCTGAGCTATAAAATAGGGAAGCTAATTAGCTGCATTTTTTCCTGGTCTTGTGGGCCCTCCCTGGTCTGAGAGTCTCCTTCCTATTTTTGTAAATTGTTTTAATGTAACAAGGTGGTACACTACGTGAGGTCTTTTGGATTTTGTGGAATCCCTATTCATACCTTTCAGTGAGAATGATGCCTAGAGTAGAAAGCATCTCTAGATGATGGGTCAGAGGCAGACACTCCACCTCCAAGCCACAGGGGTCCGAAATATAAATAATTACTAACAGTTTTGAGCATTAACTATGCACTGGGCACTTCTAAGCTTCACATAAAATATGTAACCTTTAAAACAATGCTATGAAATTTGTATTGCAGATAAGAAACTTGAGGAAGGGAGGTTGAGATTTTCACAAAGTTGGAGTGTGAGGGAAACTAGCCAGTCTGACTTCAATCCCATGTTTTCAACCATTTTATTGTTACCTGTCAGTGTACTTCAAGAAAACCACTAGCATCTCCCTTCCTTACCTCCAGATAAGAGACTCTCTCAGGTATCCAGGCCTTTGTAGCCATGTCCCAGGATTTCTTACCACCTACAGACCTCACCCCATTCCCTCACAGAGCTCCCATTCCACTCCTCCCTGGAGTTTTCCCACAAAAGTCCATCAGGTTCAGAAACAGATTAATGACAACATGTCATTAAGGCTCCCTCCAGGTTCAGGAAAGCCAAGCATTGGGATTAACACAAAGGTGTAAGTGCTGGGCCTTTGTGGATCCCAATGCTCAGCAAGGTTTCCCCACACTAATTCTGGCAGTCCTGACTAGAATTTTAGACCTTGCTAGGGCTCATCTTCCTACTGACTGCCTCTTGTTCCTAGGACTGGCTAAAACCTCAGTACCACACAAATTGTCACCCATCCCACCCCTAACCTGCTTTAGCTCAAGTGCACTCCTCTTTATATCTAGAGGAAGTTATTCCCTAAAGGGAAACAGTGGCTGCTAAATTTGCTAAACAGGGAATAATGAGTGTTCTCTCTTACCTCCCACCAAAGAGTTGTTTGGAGTTTGACCTTGCTGAACCAGTTTCCTCATCTGTAAAAATCTAAAAAACAGCTCCTGTTCTGTCTGCCTCCTGGGAATATAGTTGAATGAGTACAAAATGAATTGGGTAAGAGGGAAGAACTTTATATACTGTAAGGCACTGAGTGAACAGCAAGGCCTTATC